CCCTCTTTCAGTTTAAAACCATCACCCCTTGCTGCACTGCCCTCCTGGTGAAGTGCCACAGCAATTATTAAATCATTCCTGGAATTGTAAGGATTGCTTTGTCTCTTTTACCTCTGGGCTCCTAACACTGATGATGTTGGCTATGATGTTGACAACTGCTTCTGTTGAACTATGTCAGACAGGTACTAAACCATTACAGTTTATCACACCTCCTGAGATACTCAATATCTTTTCAGAAGCAGCATTTCTAACTCCTACTGAAAATAATGAGATTAGAGGGTAGCCTGCATATCTCAAGATTGATTTGTCAAAGTTTAAATCCCCTACAAAAAGTCAAATTCATAACGCGAGAGGAATAAACACATTAGTGTATTACAGTGCAGCACAGTTTATCTGAGTAAGTGTTGTGCATTAATGGTGTAGTCAGCTTCTAACTAAAAAGCAATCATGAAGACAAACTATTTTATTGCATTAGCTTTACCATGCAGCAGGTAGATACAAAGAAAATATTTTCTACAACTAACCTTAGCAGTTTTTGGCATAACTGCCTTTCCTTCAAGAGTACTGCTATACTTGACTTCTCAATCTTCTTGAAACACAGCTTAAATGAAAATAACACAATCATAATGCTAACATGTTAAAAATCACTGATGGTGTTTTTCATCACCACACAAATGACACAACAGTTTCTTACTGTCTTAGAAAGACAATTAAAGGAATTTTTTACTAGCATTTTAAAATAAGACTTTTCTAAAGCTATCAGGCTTAAATATTTTCAAATATCTGAAACAGTCAAGCAACACACGTACCTGCAACCGGAATATTCTGTGAGACTGACAGCTGTACATCTCCAGTCCCAGGTGGCATGTCGATTACTAAATAGTCCAGTTGACCCCAGTCAACCTAGAGACAGCAATAAACGTGTGTTGGAGGTCTGAAGTGTTTTTATTTAAGGCATTCTGTGCAGTCCTTGTTTCCTATAACGTAAAACAAGTGAATCAAGGACATCTCAAAAGAATGATACTGAGATGCCCTTTTAGTCACACTTTCAGTACAGTACAGGATCAAGACATTATTTTTCTAAGAGATGTAATCTTTGCTGATCACTCAAAACTATGAGCACAACTTTGTTAACTTGAGCATAATCCTTACTGAATTCTTTCCACTCAAAAAAGGAGCAACAACTTAATTTAACACTTTTACTTCGCAGCTGCTTAATCACAGGTTAGAAGCAAATGTTAGCCAAGATTCAGGCTAAAATTCTGGGGCTTTTACAACAAATACGGCTTAGGAATTGTTTCCATTAACTTAAAACCAAATTTTGTTTGCTTCTTAACACTTCTTTGAAACTATATATAAGTATTTGGTATTTTTTTTTCTGGTTTGCTTTGCAAAGTTAGAGCCATTGGTACTGAATTTTTTCAAGGAAAAAGAGCTGTTGTGAGAAAAAAAAAATTCCAACAGATTTGTTAAATGAGAATGACCAGGTATAATTACAAAAACTTACAATGTACATAAGACATTGTGCAATAAAAATAAGTTTACTGGCTGCTAAGCATCAAATGAGAGTGTCCATTGAAGAGAATAGGCTCAAATATGAGAATACTGTGATCATTTACATTCTCTACTAGACAGATTTCCAGGAGAGCCAAGTAACTCTCTCTAGAGCAAAAAAATGTTCTCTTCATGAGAACAGAAATGGTCTTAGGCCTATACTATGTAATATAATAATAATAGTTTATATATATTCCCAACAGTTTAACTGAGCTTCGGGACATCCTCGATTGAATTCTGACGTGGTGCATATCAGTACCAGTGCACTCTTACTAGCCAGCAGTAATGATATAAGGTCTTTTGCCTCTGCAGTGCAGAAGCTTGTTAAAAATTAAAACCCACAAATGTCTCCCCCTCACTTCTCCCTCCACACAGACACAATGCAATTATATGGTACGTTTCCGATTCATACAACATATATAAGATACAACAGTGTGAGCTGCTTTAATACAGGAAAACGCCAAACGATTTTACTTTCTTTTTTACTTTACAGATTCCCTCAGTGTCACTTTAACAGGAAAACAACTTTCATTTTGCCAGTCCCCCAGTTATTGCCCTGGAGCATCAGACCCTGTCAGGGGAACTCTCATGCATTTTCACTCAGTTCCTGTACAGATTATGATCTTCTAGGGAAGCACAAGCAATGTGAAATCCAGACCACTAACACCCCACATCACTGCAGTGAGAAATGGGACTTTTCAAGGCAGACTGATGAAGATGAAAGATTTCAGCACACTTATGAACGAAGGGGGATGGGAAAGGTTAGCTGCAAATTCTAACTTTAATTGCCAAATCAAGGACTCTCAGGCACACCTCCCTTTCTTCATTTTCTATACCAAGGCTTCAGGAGCACTAAATGGTGCCTAAGACAGTCGAGCTAAACAGGAAATGCTACTTATGATAACCACAGCAAACGCTGCACTTTTTCACATTTAGTAGTGTTCTATAGTATTTTAGAATATCTATAATTTGTCAGCAAAACTGACACATACCCAGATTTCTGAAAGTAATTAGCATTCATAATCACACAGAGACTATATAGCCTCAAATAAAAAAATATATCTGTGCAAAAAAGTACATGCTGAAACATAAGCATGGGGTAGAGAAGGCAGTTTATAAAAAAAAACCAAACCCAAAAACCAAAGAACAACTGTATTTTACTTTGTTTTTCTTAACTAATACTGCTGACTTATAAAGCAAGATAAATGCCAGTGCTGATGAATGTCTCCTTTTCCAGTGAAAATTCCTTTGCTTTTAAATTAAAAATTAACCACTATAAGGACAACAAATTGAAATTTTATCAATGTTAAAAAGTAGCGATGGTTTACATTAGTAAAATCAAGTTCCTTAAAGACTTGCAACTAAACACACTACTATAGTTAAATGCATAAATCCCAATATACAAAATCAAATCTTTCATGAGAATCACAACCATTTGGAAACGCTAAGGTATAGAGGGTTTTACTTTTTAAAAAGGATTAACTCAAAGTACTTTCTCCCCCCATGCCGTCATAAAGGCTGATCCTGGCATCCTTTGTTAAGTCCAAGTTTACAAGTCCAGTAATCATATTTCCTTCCTTAAATACTTCTACAGAAACTATGAATAAACTCGGTTTTTGCTTTCTGCCTTGCAGCAAGATTTGGTCCTGAAACACATCTGCGAGTGGCATAGCACGACTATCATTCTGACACAGTTTCTAATCACTCTGTCTGGGAAAAACATCTGGTTCTTGAAAAAACTTTGCTATTGAGTAGTTTTCAGCCCTTTCCTCCATAAGCTCAAGTTGAAGTCCTTTTAGGTACAGCACTGCCTCATGAAGCAGTGCAAGACAATGCAAACCCCACCATTATCAGAGGTAACTGGAACGAAAAATAAGTTCAGTGCTTTCTTCCCATAGCTCAAAGCTGCCTGGTTCTGAATATGCTCGCTGGCCTAATGGCTCTAGCTTTAAGCCAGCTCCTGTTGTGGAACAAGGTGACTTTCTGGGCCTGTCCTACAGCTTTTCTCTCTTAGCAGAGGTTCTGCTCCTCCAACCTCTTCAAGTACTAGTCTCCTCTATCAAGCTCCTCTATCATCCTCCTACCTAGCAAGCATTACACACCCCAAAAGAAAACAACTAGACCTATTCTACTGCTATGTGGAACACTAACAGAGAAGATCTCAAAGGCCAGTGCTCAAACCTTTCCCAGGCATTCAGTGCTGTGGGGAAGCACAAAGCAGTTGCTGCTCTTTTAAGCAGAGGTAGCTGCCTTGGTACAAACATCGCTATGTAGAACTTTTAAAGCAGAACAACATATTTATAAATATCTCACTGCTTCAAAAACACACAAAACAATTGTTTTTCAGAAAGTTACTCTGAATATTTACCGCGCACAGTAGAATGGGAGAAGGGTTACAGAAATCAGAGAGCACCAGAGCTTTCCGCCTCAAACTTCTTTAGTAAGTGACTCCATCACAACAAAAGGAACTTTCAGCATGCACTTTCTGGATTGTCCTATGAGTAATGATTTTTATTAAAGCTATAAACCTTTGAAAAGAGAAGTTAATAATGGAATCTTAAGCACATGGTGAATCTCATGGTAAATCTCATTGCTAGGCAACAGGAAAAATACTCTGTTAACACACAGTGCAATTAGATTATAACGCTTTACTTAATTTATGGCACTGAAACCATCTTATTTAATATATCTTCTTCAAATTCATGGATTGAAAAAAAAGAAATTACCTGTCTTTATCAAATTAATTCTGTTCCATTATAATGTTTATAAATCTGAGCACAGAAAATGGAGAAGCTACACTACCCCAGCAGCAGTGCAGAGGATGCGTTGCTGCTGTGCAGAGTAGGACAGAAGACAGGCTTTTGTCACACCAGTTCACTAAAGGCAACAATTAAGATGTCTAGGTGCACACGAGTCAAATATATGTGAGAACTACCCTCCACACACCTCTCAGTTATGCCACTGCTGTGGCACTGAACTGGTGGAAGCCAGATGGCATGCTAGATTGGAAAACCACTCCTCATTATAACTAACCTTGGTTTTTATGTTGGATTTTGGATGTAGTTGAATAGTTATCCTTCTAATTTTATTATCTTGGTTTTCATTTGTAATTCAGGGTGAGAATGGAGAGTTGCACCACAACGACATAGCTACAACTGCTGAAAAGAACCGAGGCAGTGTGTTTGCCTAGTAGCAGTGTCCTCGAGACGTATGGACGTGCTCAGACTTAGGTTGGGGAACTCTGCACCTCATCCTACTTCTCTCTGTAGACTTCCTCTTATTCTCTTCTGCTCTGCAAGAAGTAGATGATGAACACTGTGGAGGAGTTCAGTTGCTTCTTCATTACCCTCCCACAGGAACACACAAGCAGCGTGACAGTCTTTTATTAAACAAATTATTGAATGTAATTTGGAAGGTATAAGGATTTGTTATAGAAGTGTACAATTTATTTAATGGGAGAAGAAATTCTTGGTCTGTTACTAAATTTCAGCAAAGGAGAAAAAAAAGGGAGGAGAGACATTTTTAATTAGATTTAGAGTTGGAACAAACAATCAGAGGAGTGGCTTTCTGAAATCCACTACTGCCATTCACCCAACATTATTAAAATTGGATGTATAATCAGGCTGTGATATAAAACACTAATTTGAATGCAAATCCTGTTTATATGCAACTATTTACCAAATCAGGACCACTAGTACTCATGTTCTCAATCAGTTCTGAGAAGTGTGTCTGTATGCTAATGTGGCTGCATACAAGTAAATGAGCTCAGATTAACAGCACATTACAGTAAATGAGTTTTCTTTGCAAGTAATGAGCGGACAGTGGTTACAACAGCCCGCCTTGTAGCATCTGAAATCTGCCAGCACCTTTGCACATACAGAAGTGTTAATATCTTTGCCCCTCTAATATATACTGTGTGTAAAACATTTCAAAGCACAGAACTGTAATTGCACTTTCCTTAAGTACAGCATTCATCTTTTTTAAAAAAGGTTTAACTTGACATTTATTGTTAAGCAACGTAATTAAGTGCCATGTGCTTCTGTGTATTTTTCCTTGCTCAGAAACACCACCAATGCTTTTATGTAAATTACTTTAATCAATCACTCTGCGTATGTGACAATTCATAATCAACATACCAGATATGCATTTTGAGTAAGGGTTCCAAACAGCAAAGCCAAACCCGAGGTACAGCATAGAGATATAGATGGCGTTTCTGCTGAGGAATGAAGCCTGAGCATACTTTGCGCATAAGGCAGAAACAACAGAATATTAGCACAGAAGAGGGATTGCTACTTGTGGTTCTGAAGTAATCCTGGTGTTTGGTAAATAACAGAAGATATTATTTATTT